TTGCATCAAATTATACAAACAATGCCTTTGTACCTACACACAGGCAAGGTTTGGTGATTGTGATCAAAAGCTGCCTGGCAGTTGATTGGCAAACGTTATGCGAAATTTTGGATGTTTAGACAATACATGTGTATGTTCACGTGTGTATGTACAAGTTACAATAAACATATAACTTTGTAAGGTAAATTTATTGGTAAAAGTGAATGTTTAACTTTGGTTGTAGTTTCGAACAGGCTAAAGCTATGGTGTTTAGCTTAGTGCCAAGATCGTAGATAAGGAACAGCTACAATTCAAGTAACTTATGTAGACACAACACTAACTATATGGTCAAGTACGATAGTATGCAATACTGTCCAAAAAAACAAATCAATTCCTAACAGCGGTCGTTATCGGCTCGGCTGGGATACTTGGCGGCAATTATTTTATCTTAAGGTCTGAGTATGTGGTCGCCTTTTCGGTACAAAAGTTTACTGTGCTGGTGCAAAATCCCCGTACGACTTCGCCACAAGTAATTTGCTTAATTAACACAGTCAGGTGCTTAAAACAACTTAACAGTTAAATAACAATCTAATGATTTTTAGTAGACTGTTTTATCTAAATATATAGGGTAAAACCGGGATAGATGCCGCGCTGGGATAGATGCCTCGTTTCTAAAAACTCAACTACTAGAAAACAAAACAGCAAATTCATTGTTTACATACGCGCCACATGCACCCCCCACCTCAGTGACGCGCGAGTTGTTGTGCTAGACGGACGTTTCTCGCTTGTGTGTTGAATTACATTCGCAGCGGATGCAACGAACGCTTCAAAATTTCAAACGTAAGTATTCACTATTCCATATCTTTATAAACAGTTAAAAAATTACATTTTATTTGAATTGTTTTAATACATTGGTTCTTTGAGAACACATTTAAGAATCAATCACTGATGTTTGCATTTATTTTATTTATAAAATATTGAGAGGCATCTATCCCTAGTGAAAAGGATAGTTGCCCCGAGTTTACAAGGGATAGTTGACTTTAGGGGCATCTATCCCTCTATACTGCAAGAGCCTTATCGAAGTATTTAAAAGTCATAGTCGTGAATATTTTCGTATTTCCTAATAGTAGAATATTAGAAAACACCAAAAAAAATGTATCCAAATTTAATTTCATAATTCGAATATGATGAAATGAGTGTAGATACAGTGTTTTATTTATCTAAATTTGCTTATTGTAGGTGAGCCATGCCAAGGAAATACAAAAGAAAAGAGGGCGTACGAGCTCGAGTAGTTTCTTGGACAACAGAGCAGCTACAGTCAGCTTTCCATGAATTGGATAAAAAAGAATTGGGGATCAATGAAATATCCAGACAATTTGGGATTCCATCCAGAACATTGCGAAGGCGTTACGCTATTAAAAACCAAACTAAGCTGACTTTGGGAAAACATCCTGTCCTGGGTTTTGAACACGAAAAAAGGTTGGTAGCGCACATTTTGAAGCTTAGCGACGCGGGATTTCCCCCAGATAGACGAGCTATACGTATGTTAGCATACCAATTTGCCGAAAAGCTACAGATTCAACACAATTTTGATAATGAAAACCAGATGGCTGGGAATGAATGGTTCAAAAGTTTTATTGAGCGAAATCCAGAGTTGTCTATTAGGCAAGCAGAAGGTTTATCTGTCGCTAGGGCTAAAGGTCTTAGCAGAGAAGAAGTGAATAATTTTCATGAACTTCTGACAAAAGTCCTGGCCGATAATGATCTCTTGGATAAGCCTGAAAGGATTTATAATATGGACGAATCAGGAGTTCAGCTTAACAATAAGCCTGGCAAAGTTGTTGCAAAGAAAGGTGCAAAAGTAGTAAATTCAGTTACATCTGCGGAGAAAGGTGAATCAATGACTATCGTAGCCTGTTGCAATGCCATTGGTAATTTTCTCCCACCAGTAGTAATAATTAAAGGTGTAAATAAGAAACCAGAATTCGAGAACACTCTACCACTGGGCTCAAAAGTATACATGAACAAAAAGTCGGCATACATAAATACCGATCTTTTCTATAAGTGGCTTACGGAACACTTCATAGCTTTGAAACCGCAAGGTAAGGTTCTGCTTATTTTAGACGGGCACTCATCTCATTCATCCGCACCAGACATGCTGCAAGTTGCTTCTGATAACGATATTATTTTGTTATGTTTACCCAGCCACACTACCTCAGCTTTACAACCATTAGACGTAGCGGTGTTTGGGCCGTTTAAAACATACTTTAACCATGAAACGAATCAGTTTATGCGCGCAAATCCAAATAAAAAGATAAGCCGTTATAATTCTGGAACCCTTATACGCAACGCATGGGTACGCGCTACTACACCTGCAAATGCTCTTGCTGGCTTTCGAAGAAGTGGGATTTATCCACTAAATCCTAATGCTGTGCCCGATTCTATTTTCACTATATCTGATATTGCACATCGCAGTGACAATAATCCTGATCAACCCTGTGTGCTACATCAAACTACAACAGCGCTTCTTCAAACATCTTTAAACGAAAATGCAGAACCTTGTGAGCATGTTGAAGTTGAACACAGAACACAAACAACTATACCTCCGATTTCTTCAATTGATTGTCCAACTACATTTGAAAACGAATATTTGAATGTCGCAGACCTGAACATAACACCACCCAATATGCCAACAACTTCATTCAACCGAAACTCACCCAGCCTTTTGATCGATCCTCAGATTTTAGAAGATACGATTATTGATATTGTTGATATAGGCGATGATTCACTAATACGGATTCTAGATAACGAAGAAAAAGAAACACCTTCTAAATTTTTAGTCGAAGCATCACCAATACCACAAATTCCTCTGACTTTAGCAAGGAGAGCTAAACAATCGGCAGATATTCTCAATTCTAGAGAAAAAATAAAAGAAAAAAGGGATATTGCTGACAGGAAAAAGAAACAAATAGAATCTAAGATACACAAGACTGAAGCTACCAAAAAAAGACAAACAATAAAAAAAGCAAATAAAAAAGCCAAAGAACAAATACAAAAAAATAATAATAAGAAAGGAAAACCAAAGAAAAACTATGACTCAACTGAAGAAACAGATGGTGACGTGACTGATTGCAGTCATAAAGAAAATGATTATTATTTAAAAGTAAACAAGAATCGTGGATTACGTAAAAGACTAGCTATTTATAGCTCAAACAGTGAAAATGAAGATCACCTCTCACCTAATGCTGAAAAAGGTAAAAAAACCATAGGACTACCCGTGAAAAAAATTAAAAAAAAAAATTTGAAGAGACTAATTCTATAGATGAAAATGTTTCCGTAGAATGCTTCGATACCTATAATAACACGAAGTCCAAATCTGATTGGATCCAGTGCATTATGTGTCAGAAGTGGCTGCACGAGACATGCACACTTTTTAAGAACTATTGCTCAAGATGTGGAAAACTTAAAATGTCCGGTTCCACTTAATGAAGGATAATTCCTTACAAATATGTTGATTTTTTTAAATGTTTAAATAATAACTAAGGTTAAACGAAATTATTATTATTTATTTTGTTAGAGATTCATATGAATGTTGATTTTTTTTTAATGTAAAGTAATTATTTCTACGTTAAAACGGGAATGTTTCGTTTGAGATGATTCTATATGATAGTTTTAATATGTTATCGCTTAAACAGATTTTTTTATATATTTTGTAGACATGCCTAAATATAAATATGGTTAAGCATTTTATATTACCTAAGATAATAAATAAATATTACATTTTGATTACGTATTCTTCTTAGTTATTTAAAAAGGCATCTATCCCGCATCACAGGCATCTATCCTCCTAAGTGATTTCATAGTGGGGCATCTATCCATATAGGTAGGCACCTATCCCCAAAAAATGTGTTTCGCAAGAATTACATTTTTGCAAAACCAGTAATGGTTAGGTAAATAAATACAGTTTCTAAAGCTTTATGAATGATTAAACTAACTATATTACAGGGTCAATCTAAGCAAATATGTTTGGTATTCAAATAATGAAACACTTTCGAAAAGTGGGGCATCTATCCCGGTTTTACCCTACATCCAAGACGTCTGTCGTTGAAAAACGAAACGTTTTAGATGGATAATAAGTCCATAAAATTTCCTTAAATCTTTCTGTGGACCAAGACGTCTAGTAGTAGATAAATTTCTATCTAGTTGCAATCTGCGCAGCGCAACTTTCAATATATGGTACGGAAGGCGCTCGGCATCTGGCTTAGTTTTGAGTAATGCCTACAACGAAATGCTCCATAAAGTTTAGTGAACCATGACGCGTACGAAGCCAACGAACCGAGAGATTTCCTTGCGGGCCCACGCCACGTATCCGCGCTTCCTGTAACATTGTAATTTTCCTGAGAAACACATTAAATTGCATGTTTATAAATGTAATAAACCTGTGGTGTACGAAGATTAAATTTGCGTTTTGCCGTGATACTGAAAAGCTTTGTTTTCGAAAATGAGAAATTTCAGTGAAGCTGACGAGGAATCTCTGTCGATTGGTTACGTTCCAGGGCTCCACGGGGTAGGTAGTGGGGTTGGGGTAGGAATCGCAGACTTCAAACTATTGCGGTCGCTTACCATGAGGCACGCCATTTGCTAGTTTGTGGGTAGCAAAATCAAATCACACTAATATTATAAAGGCGAAAGTTTGTGAGTGTGTATGTTTGTTACTTCTTTGCGTTGAAACGGCTGATGCAATTTCAAGAACGGCTGATGCGATTTCAATAATATTTGGTGTAGAGTTAGCTGACACCCTGGATTAACACATAGGCTACGGTTTACTGCGGGAAAATATCCCTAATAAACCGCGGGTAACAGCTAGTTTAATATAAAAAATAAACACTGCAATTTCATAGAGAAAGCGAAATATTTCCAGGAAAAGTTTATTATTTAAACTTAATATGCCACAGTTGCTATTTGCCATGTTTCAAGAATTGTATTTTTATCTATGGTTAATACTTAATTGCTTTATTTACAAACAATCAAATAATACAATTTTGACATTGACGTATAAGATTGATTTCATAAACGGATTTTCTTTGTATTTATATTTACTTATTTGTTGTTTGATAGTAATTATTCGATTATGCCGTGGGGCTGGGAATGTCGAGCCAAGTTGATCAAGCAGCGACCTACTAAGCCAACAGAGAGGAAAGGAAAAGTGTCCGGGGAGGCTCCCATGCCTGGACCTCAGCACTATCAACCGCCACAGATTTTTTGTAAATAAGTATTCTCTTTTTCTTATATTATTTCTGGTGTTGGAATAGTTCCTGTGCCGTCGTGTATCACATTCAATATACGCAAGTTAATAATAAAATGAAACATTGAATTTAATGAATTGAATGAAAGAGATTGGGACCACATTGCGAAGAATATTTATTTTTACCACATCATCATCAGCTTATAAATGTCTGAGGGTGGTTGGGCCATGACCCGCTACGCGGGCCCAAGCGCGGACTTCCCTAGCGCCTTCCTAAGCGCGGACGAGGTCGAGATAATAATATTATATAATAAATTTTTGGTCACCATCCATTGACCGACCACTGCGAAAGTTGCTTAATGAAGTTAAGCAACCATCGCAGCCAAACGTGGTAATTACTTGCTTCATCGAAAGCCTCAAGGTTCACCACATGTCACCAACGATATTAAATACCCTAGATACATCAACACGAACAAAATCGTGACTAAAACGTGTCCATAAGGTACATTGGACCATCTACCGAGCTCCGTATGATGATCGCGTGGTCTAAAACGATATAAGGCACTATTTAAACATTGAAAGTCACCTTTAATGCATACTGCATAAGGTCTTAATTAAAACGCATGCGTCAAAGACTTATGACAGTTCGAAATGCAAGCTCGTAAAATTTTACGACTTACTGTTATATGCAGAAGAATATAGACCTTATTTTTTTGCTTTACGCACAATTTTGAACTCGCTGTTAGCAATGTAGCAGGCACAGACCGCGAGTTAAAGAGACGGCTATACGTCGACGTTATAACCGACCATACATTTGAATATCAAAAATAATAATAAAAATATATCTTTATTCAAAGAAGGTCAATATTACATAATAATAATAATTATTAAAAAAAGTACAAAAAAAGGATGTCTGAACTAAGTTACAGTATAAATCGTACCTGTATTTCAGGCTGCTATGATCTAAAATAATACATTTTTTGATTAATAAATTAACAAATTAATTAAAACAGAACTTAAAGTAATTGTTTTATATGTTATTAAATGTAAATAATGGAGTTATGTTAGTTTATTTACAAATAAAAAGTAATTCTTCGGTCTGCTTGTATGTCAGGCTGTGCAAATAATTAAATACTACATTTCTACAGTTAAAATAGTTTAATGGATAAATACATAACACTCTGTTTAACTTATTATATAAGAAAGGACTTAGGAAAGTAGAGAATCTATGTGAAAATGTGTATTTTGATTCATGTGTAGAGATGCAGACTATATCTTTCCCTCTTTTGTTAGTGATAGTAGAGTCAAAAGGAGAAATGGTGTGTTGTTTTAATATGGTGTGCATAATGAAAAGCTGGCAACCAGTTAACACATTACAGTATTTGTAAAGTTGGTGCGTAGGATATAGGAAGGGAAGTGAATTGGCTACTTTTAAAATGGTTCTCTGAGCTCGCTCGAGAGGGATTAAAATAGTTTTGAGAGCTCCACCCCATGAAGTTATACAATATTGAATTACTGATTGGCATAAGGCTTGAAATACTTGTTCAATTAGCTTTGGACCTGCAATGGTACGTAATTTTTAAAGATATACATTCATTTACGGATCCTGACTACTAAATTTGCAATGTGCTGTCTAAAAGATAATATGTCGTTAATTAAGATACCTAGATATTTTATATGGGATGTGTTTCGGATTACAGGACAATCGCATATATTGTCTAAAGGATATTGGCATCGGCGTGCGTATAAGTTAGGATTTGTAAACCCATGATAAGGCTGGCGCATAGAAAAGTGAATATAATATGTTTTGTCAGTATTTAGTGTTAGTAAATTGCAGCGAAGCCAGTTATTTACACTATTTATCCCAAGTTGAGGTACCTCATATAATTCTGACCTACTATTGGCGCTAAAAACAAGGCTGTATCATCGGCGTAAGATATAATATTACCACTTTTTAGATTGAGGTTACATAAATCATTGATGTAAACGAGAAAAAGGGTAGGGCCGATTATACTTCCCTGAGGAATACCATAGCAGGTCATTTTCTGGTAATCACTTTTAATATTTCCTATTTTGACGCATTGAGATCGATTGTCTAAATAATCTGCAAACAGTTTTAATTGCGTTCCTCTAATACCCAGTGTTACAAATATTTATATTAAATCAGTTTAAAGTAAGTATAGAATAGAATTTGCTTTAAATGCGTTAAATTAACAAACATTGATTAGGTATCTGTCGAAAAAACGATACTCTACAAACTACATACAGTTTTTTTTCTATTTTTTTCTCGGAGCTTTGCGGCTTCTTGACTTTTCAACGGTCCGCGCGTGACTGTGAACCAAAGAAAGTGCTTGAGTGGAGTTCAAGCACTTCTTGATTGAGAGATATTTTGAACGCTCGTGGTGTATTTAGGGTATTTGATATCGTTGCATGTCACGTCCAAAGGCGCTGCGGGGTGTGGCAATGCAAATGAGGATACACGCATACCTTATGTAGGATAAATGTCTTGCAAGTCACCAGATTGTTACATTATTCCAAAGTCCCCTGGCGACATTGCAATCGCCAGTGGACGCTGAAGGGTGGTAAAATCCCTTACCATGCCGTCTCAGTCTGCTAAGGTCTTAATCATTCGGTTTTTTATTGATTCACACGGGTATATGCCGAGGTTCAGTCCCTTCGATATAACAATGCCTTTTCCTTTTACCCAATATTTTGATTATAAATGATTGACATCTTCAGGCATTTATCTTTGAGGAAACGTCAATTGAACTAAGCAGCGAACCCTTGTCATAGAAGGATTCATTGTGCATCGTTTTTTTAACATTATAGGGGTTGCGAACAAGTATGGCTCACGTAATGTCTAAAGATGCTTGTCATATCAGAAGGTTTCACTTGCTCTTTGCTATATTTCACTGAAAGGTGAAGGACTACAATGTTATCATAAAAATTAATGTTTCCCGCATCGCTCTTATTTACAATGTGGAATACTTATCGTATATTTATGATCGCGACTTTAGCGTGAGGCGAGGTATTGTGAGGCCTACCGTATAGTATCAAAACTATGAAATATATACCTATAGCTTTCTCTGCCGTGTAGGCAGCGAATTAGAATAAGAAAGGATAGCTCTCTAAAAGGCCGCTAAAATATGGCTCCAAACTCATACCACAAAACTTAACTAACGCGTCACGTACCTACATCCATTCACTGGGTAAGATATTGTTTAACGCAAAACTCAACCAATTCTGTTATCGTTGACCTGCAATAATTGATTGCAGTTAATTCGCCCCGCCCACTTGATAACAGTTTGCATAGAACCACTTTTTAGCGCAGTTGGTATTCCATATTATTTCTTAATCGATGCATTTAGAAGTATATCTCGTAAAGTTAAAAGTGAATTAATTTTCGAAGGTGGAAAAGGCTTTTCCAAAATCAAACGCGCGCCTGCCTACACGTTCGGTCAAGTAACGCCGTCGAGTTTTCAGAAACCTGCCACGACGCAGAATGCGCGCATGTTCAATGTTCAGGGTTACCGCCGAGATGGTGGTGAGTATAGAGAGCTTATGCATTTGTTACTTCATGTTTTGTCTCTGTTCACTGAATGGTAAATGTCGTTTGAGTGATAGAAACAAAACCTGGCGTAACTAGTCAAAGCTTATTCCGCGTTTATTAATACGGGGGTTAGAGTTTTTAGTAAGTGTATTACAGAAACAGAAACTGTAAGCGATGGCGGGGGTAGCACACTGTATTTTATTTAAATAAAAACTGGCTCAATAAATTATCATAGGTTCCGAATATACATACTTTTTAAACAAGGCGTGAAACAGATTATGTGCCTCAGAATCTTCGGATTATTTACAAAAAATTAAACATTATCAGATAAATTGATGATCAACCATGAAGAAATTATGTTACAACATGATTTTTCTCCTAGTAATTAATCATTACCTAAGCCTTTGTTAGACTTAATAACGCAAGTAATGGTCTTATTCGATTCCGATGAAAGAACATTTTTGCTGTTCGTCAAGAGATATTTGTTAAAAAATAATTTTTAGAAATACACGACGCAGTTATTTGATTCTCCGTTTTAATTGAACGATGCGCGTCCAGTTATAACAACCATTACTGAGAAAGTATCGTGTTATCGCTTTCGGGTTCGAAACCCAAATTAAAAGTGATATTTTAACAGCTGGTGGATAAATAATTCTTACAGATACCTATTTTAGCTTTATTTATATACAACCGAAGAAATAGGACATTGACTCTTCCTTAATAGTACGCATTCAGCAGTACTTAGACAAATACTAATAAAAAGTGACACATTATCATCATACAGCCATACGAAACCCATTGCAGATCATGTGCCTCTGTCAAAAATCTCCACAGTAATGGGCCTTGGATTATTTAGCAACTTTGTGAGATCTTTAGCAAATTGTAGATCGACTGGTGTCGTCATTCGAGAACCTTTCAAAAAGTAACGTTATAAGTATCTTATTTTTATAGTTAAATTCTATTTGGTGCACTGAATACCTACACAACCATGTAAGTAGTTAACAGCTGCCTTGAAACTTCAAGAAGTTTAAAGGCAGCTGCATCTCCTTCTTGCATATAAGCATCCAACAAGTCTCTATACAGACTTAAGCCGGGTACTCATTAGCGAGCTGTAACCGTAACACGAGTGATACAGTACGAGGTTCCAGTGTGTACGCTTGTAGCTCAGTTGTCAACGTCGTCGGCTCGATGCAAACGGCACGCGTACCGCTCGCAGCAGGTAACCACGTACACACTATGCTTTTCGGTTACAGTGCATGCAATGGTTACGGTTACAGCTCACTAATGAGTACCCGGCTTTATGCTTTCTGCAATACAACGTTAGCAATATAATTGGCAATGTACGTTTGACTCCCTAAAAATTTTAATTATAATATAATAATTTTAGGACAATACTGAGCTTCTCAATTCTAGTCACGTATTGTGACCGCTTACCTTGAACCACGCTCTGGCAAGACAAGATGTCTGGATCCCGACTCTGGATATTCCACGCACTATCTAGATGATGATTGAGCTTCTAAATATATTATATCCAGCAGACCTGCGATAAACCGACAAACGTATTGCTGGACGATGTCGTATTATTGAATTTGTCCGTTTTGTCCATTATAGAGTACTACCTAAGACTGCCCTAAGTCTTCTTCAAACTGCTCTCTATAGTCCGGAATTTGTTTATTTGAAGTACCTTGTAATCCGACAAATCACAAAAAAAACTATTTCAATTGATTTTTGTGTATAATGAACATCAAATTGGCAGTAGGCAGGGGATATTGCAAGGAGGACTGACGGCCCTTGGGGCGGAAAAGTCCTCGAGTGGCGGTAGCGTACTGCGAGACGCAGTGTTGGAAGGCCAAGGTGGACTGACAATCAGATGAAAATCGCTGGAAGCTGCTCGATGCGGGCAACGCAAGACCGATAGGTTTGGAATTACTTAGGTGAGGCCTATGTCCAGCAGTCCCCCACTGCTCGGCTGATATGATGATGATGAATAATCAACAGTTGATAAACATGTCGGATTATGGGAGACGCTGAATTAGACTAGGCTGGATTAGCGTAAGTCTAATAGTAATCAAAGTACTAATTTCAGGACAATATCGTGTGACTCATGGTGTTGTGACCGCACACCTTGAGCCTCCCTCTGACAAGACAAGGGTTCCTGGACCGGGGGCTCACGCACCTCGCACTATCCAGATACGCTATAAGAGACCCCCTGCGTACACTTTAAGACCAGCAGCTCGGCCTACGTATCAACCATGGGATCAGTGGACCCCACCACCCAATATGTACTGCCCTCCCATACCTGGAAAGTAAGGTTTTTTATAGATTCAGTTTTTGTTTCTTAGGTTTTCACGCACATCACTCATTAAATTGTTTTTAGTTTTGTTAATAGGTGGTATTATATTTCATAAACACTTCGATGGTTTAAAAATTTGTCATATATTTAAATTAGATTAATTCACACACACACACTATATTTGAATATTTCATTTATAATAGCTACATGAAAAAAACAGCAATTGAGAAGAATCGGCAAAAAACTCAGCAAGATTCGTGTCGGTTTTATACGAACGTATAGACAGCATATTTGTCTTGTCTTGTCATCGCTCGCTGTCGCTTGACTAATTTGTCTCACGTCGTCTACACATAATAACTGATAGCGCTCCAACGTATGGGCAGTCGAACAAAGCTATATTGGCCATTTGTATTGGTCTTCTTCAAGTTTGCTCAACGTCTAGACGGTAGCACTTGCCTTATATCAATTTGCCTGCGTTCGCGTTAGGTTAAGCTCTGCCAACATGTATTGGCGGCTTTAGCAAACAGAAGATGGAGACATCAAACATAACGCTTCCGTGCTGATTCTTTTATTTATAGAAACTATCCAGCGTACAGTTTGGGCAACATGCCCAGAGAGCTCAAAATGCAAGATTTTCCAGGCCCCGGTGAACACGATCCAAACTTCAACTTTGTGAAAAAAAGTAAACCAGCCTTCTCATTTGGGGCACCGTTTAGGTCGCTCAAACCACCCAAAGTTCCCGCCCCGAACACTTACTGTGAGAAAAAGGTAAGATTATTTTGAAACGTTGTGTAAGATTGATGTAGGTAGCCTTTGCTAGAAAGCTAATAAACGACTCTTGAATCTAAAGTTTGAAGGTTTTAAGAAATGCTTTGGGTTTTTTGGGATAACGTAAATGTGTCTTTTGATCAAATCCAGTGGAGAAAATAGCGAGTTAATAATAATTACTCTTCGATTTCCCTTGTACTTAGTACAATTTCTATTAAACGATTTCGTATTCTTCAATATTACCTACATTATGTAGTTGCATTTTTTGGTGTGAGTGACGATTGAAGCCTTTTAAATAGTTTAGTTTTATTGTATTCACAAAGATGTATCATTTCAGTTTATGGTGCAGAAACCAACTGTACCCGCTCCATCATTTGGTATTCGACACACCCAGTACTTAGGAAACCAAGATGTCTACCTGAAACCATCGAAACTTGACATTTTCTCCAGTGATGTTAGCTAAGAACAAGTGGAGAAATAGTGGTGGGTTTTTGCTTACATAATTTTATACCTAATATTAATACGTGTACTTTTTATAATAATTATAATTATAAAAAGAATTACCTTTTTATTTAATAACGTAAATCACACAATCCTGTTAATAGTAATAAAATTGAGAAGGTAAACGGTACACAATTTTTTTCCAATCGTTTAAAGAGATTGGTCTAGAGCGTCGTTACACTATAAAAGAAACTTTTATACTGCGCTCTTAAATTAACTTTTGAAAGACAAACGTCGAAGAGGGCGCTAACTGGCTGAGTTAAATTAAACACTAGTTTCTTTCCAGAGGAGCGCGCCTAAATGAGTTAAAGTTTACACGAAACTCATTCAACACTAGTTGAAGTAAGATGACACAGATATAAAGTGCAATTTAATACCACAGCCAAGCAGATACGGGCATTAAAACCCGATCAAAGTTAATTTTGAGAAGTTTTATGCGAAGTTGCCCGGTCTGATTTGTTTGCGCGAAGGATGTTTTACCGGACACTGCCATCAAAGCTGGGGATCTACTCATAGAGCAACCAGGGCAAACTCCTTGGCGTCGGTCGTGTTGCTCTATGGATCTACTACGTCGATTAATAATAATATTATTTTACCTCTTATAAGTAATCGGCAGCTTGTACGATTCCTTAAAAAAATGCACTTAACATTTCATGCTCGTTCAGCACGTTGCTCATTTTAACTTCTTACTTGCAATTTTATTGTACGATGTAATATCGCTGGCAACATTAATTTTTCATGATTTTATTTATTTTTTAAGCATTTAACTGCTAGATGTTTAAATCTAAAGAAAAGTTTACTAGAAAAAAATCCATGCGGACCAGGTTCCGTCTGCTGCCTGGTCCGCGTGGTTTTTATTTTCTAGTAAACTTTTCTTTAGATTAATTTTTCATTCAATATCTAGTATATTTTCTTAAGAACTGTGGACCTTTTCTGAAATTTATTAGAAAATGTACAACTATTAGGTAAAAAGGCTTTAGCAGTGTTGCCATCAAGTTTGATAGCGTTGCCGTATACGATACATCAGATTGCCGTATTTTTAAATAAATATCATGATATTGCCGTATTACCTAATTTTATTTATTAAAATTGATAGGTAGTTAGTAACTAATTAATAGTAACTTTATTATAAAAGAAACAAATAAAAAATAACCCTACTCATTAAAATCACCGCCATACAGATTTTTAATAGGCTCAAATATTTCGCTGTCGTGTTTATTTAAACAATATTTGTCCTTGTTTTTAATTTTCACACACATGTCACGGAATCGCTGAAATGTTGTACAATTTACTTGATTTCTGATGGCTTGCTTCATTTACAATTTCAGTAATAATTTAGTTATACTGCACGTGGATTCCCAGTAAGGATACATTCTCCGTGCTAGGGATGTGCCTAAATCACTCATAACATTATCCTTGTAAATCGATTCAAAACAAAATTGGATTGCCGTATATTTCTAATTTGATAGATTGAGGCTTTATTTTGCACTGTACTCACTTTTCTGCGGCAACTATATTTTCTATCACCCAAGTTTATATTTATTAAATACAACAAACGTAATTTTTCCCGTTTTTTGTTGCATATCAATAACGGCAATAAGTAAATGCTTGAAATATTTACAGAATATTTAGTGGTGGTGGATGGATCCCATACAAAAACATGTAATTTTTTGCTCGATATTAATATAGTGTCTAATGTTAAAATGGTAGTGATAATGGTACGGAACCATTCGTGCGCGAGTCCGACTCGCACTTGGCTGGTTTTTTATTTTGTGCATTTCAGTAGACTCGTCGATTACACGTTTGGTTTATGAAAGCATTATTACAGTTTTGCAGGTCGAGCTTGATATTCGAAGTAGTTAAGTACTGTAAAAGTGATAAAACATAAATGGCTGCTCTCAAATATGGAGACTGTCGATTCAAAAATTCAGCATCAAAATTTTTCTTTACGTGTATCTTATTTTCCAGCATAAACATCAGATAAAAAAACCAGAATTAATGGGTAGTTGTTCTACTCGCGCAAACATTTCTCGGTTCGCTCGGGTTTTTACTGTGAAGAGAGATTTCAGCAGCTCGTAGCGTTTCAGTGATGTACTGCTCAGGCTAGTGCCCTTGCACTTTTCTCCCCGATTTATAGCTCCTTCCAACTAATATATTGAGCGCTATCCGTACTAACTTATAACGCCTCAATAACTTACTATTTTCTGCAAGTTTATCTATAATAATCTATTAATTTCATTCTTGGATAAATTACGTTTCATTAATACTCTTTCCGCGTCATTATAAATCATGGAACAAAGTTACCTACCTTAACTTAATTATTTTTATCGCTATCGCCAGAAACCCGCTACCATCCAAAAGTACTGTTATCTCACTGCGGTCTCCTACAAGGTGGAGATCATCGCCCTAAAGAGCGCTCCAATTCGACTGTTTCATGTCCTACCTTCATTTATCTCTGCATCTGGACTCAACATCTCATTTCTGACCGACTAAAAGCGTCAGAATTAACGAAAAAAGTTAACAAGTCATTCAAAAGGTATTTTATTACGAGGGTATTGAAAGCCGATTCTTTAAATTAATGTAGTAGTAACATTTGTCAAGCTTTTGGGTTGGAACACGATCTGTACGCAGCTTCACGGTTGTTATGTCAACATATTCAGCTTTATTCGCCAGTCCTTTATTTTCCTGTACCAAAATAAAAAGCGGTTTCATATTTATAGTTGTGTATTGTAGTACTACATGTAAGTTGTAGGTTGTTTACTCTGTAAAGTTTTCTGATTAATTGATTTATAGCTGTTGGGTCATACATTTTATTTTCAAAAGCAGACTGATTTATTACTTTCCACAGATCACTTTCAAATTCAGTGACGTTGTGTGATTCTAGTAATTTATAATAACAATTGGTTTATTTACCTAAAATAAATAACAGCAATAAATATTTATAAAAAAAATAACTTAAAATTAATTAATATTTCGAAAAAAATTAACGGAGTAGCAAATATTTTATTGTAAGTGAAGTATTTATGTATAGGTAGGACTATGTACGTGCTATTATGGTTTTAATTTGTGGGCTTTTTATGGGAATATCATACAAAGACTACCTAACGGGTCAAGGAGAAGAAAGTCAACAAACGGATTATCCGTTTCCACAAAATAAGTGGAACCTTTATCCTCAAAAAAGAGTGGATCTCGATGTTAGCGCAAGTGGTTAGTTAGCGCTTTCCGTTGCGATCGTTGAAGTTCAGCAACTTTCGCAGTGGTCGGTTATGGGATGGGTGACCAAAAATTTACTAGCTTCAGTTCCTCCGTGATTCGGAAGGCACGTTAAGCCGTAGGTCCCGGCAGCATCTGCAGTCGTTAACACCCATCACATAGCATTGGGCCCGCGTGATGGGTTACGGCCCAGTGTCCCTGTTTCACCCATAGCACTGAAGAAAGGCTTGAGCTCCAGCACTGTGGACATCAATAGACTGATGATGATGAAACTTTTTTCAATAAACTCGAAAAAATCCGTACGTATTGAAAATAAGCGTTTTTTTCTGAATATTCTTCAGTCGTGTGTTCTATGGGTGCATTTAAATCTATAGGTACTTGTGATCACCAATAAAATATGTGTCGCAGTATTTCATCCTCATTGTTTGTATTAGTGTAGTAGGTACTTATGATAGGTACTTGTAACCCGAAGCTTAACAATGAGATCAGAACGGGGTCTGTGTGCAGATAACAAAGCTGAAATGGACCTTTCACTTCTTTGTGATCAAAGGATCGACGAATATCAAAGAATATTAATTATTTCACTTCACAAACTCAGACAAAAGCTTGAAAAATAACAATACCTTTTTGGTTTCTACTTTATAAAGGCAGTGTTTGAACATGTTTCTATAAAAAATCTGTATAAATAGATTGGAAAACACACAGTACTTTTATTGTTTCCAAAGGCAAGTTTATAGCGATTAATTTTCGATAATTTTATTATCTTTAATGTTTCCTTGCTCATGCATATTTTTTTTTCAAATGCTTATTTTGAGGCATAGCTTTAATTTTATTTGCGGATCTGAAATTATGGACTAGAATGTTACTTTCACCCGAATATGACCACTATAACTCGAATTTGACCACCTCCGTGCGCGAGTGATGCCTATATGTATGTTCGCCGGGTGTCAAGGTTTCACCCAATCAGACGTCTCGGGTTCGAATCCCGTTGGGGCAAATGTTTGTATGATAAATACTAGCATTTGTACCTGAGTCATGGATTTCTAGATAATTAAACTTAAACATGTATGTATAACTATATATATTCTATCCGTTACCCTAGTATCCCCTAAGACAAGCCACAGTGTTTACTTTGGGGCTAGACTAATTGGTGTGGGTATTAGAAATATATAGGTATTTATTTAATTTGTGATGGAAACAAGCAAATGCTACAATGTTACTGATAAATATGTATAATGTGCTGTAAGAGGTTCATTAGACTGCTCGGGATGTAGCGAAATTCGTGGTGGCGGTGATTAAAGCGATTACACACTCACCATCCGTCGCCGAGCTGGATTAATTTATTTCCTGCTATTTAGAGGGGCGCCGGGCGGTGCGTACCCGGAGCAATTGTGACCTTAAGTTAGATGTAGGTACTGCTATGACTCGTCGATATATTTTGCTGGGGAAGAGAACCAGAAAATCTACCCATGGATCTATTTTATTTTATTTTTATTTATTTACGATTAGGCTACATAGGCCCATAGATAAATACCTTATAGTCAAACATAAATACAGATATAAAAAATTGTTGTCACTAAATAAAATTTATAAATTTGTTAGTAAACACCTAATTAACACGTATAGGTAGGCGACGTGTTTTGCAGAGTGATCTCAGGTAACCGGCTTCAGAACCGCCGGAACACAACGACTTATCGCCACAGGAAGATCCCTTATGAAAGTCGCTAGATGTTCGGTCAGCCCCCTTACTACAAATGAATTAAAATTCACATTGTAACGGAACTCCAACCATGCGACTTCCAGGGAGAACTTGGTCTTCGTCCGCAGGTAGGTCTTCTCTTCCTCTGTAGAGTAATGCAAATTCCACCAACCACCCATGGCCTGGCGAACCTTCTTGGTTATGC